CAAAGCAGCTAGAATCTGTCTATTGATATTTAGATATATTAATGTGTAATTACATAAACAGGTTTTTTTTTCAGTCTGCATTGCAGAGTTGTTATATTATGGATTCCATCACTTTTTTTTACTTTTGTTTATAGTGGGTTGCATAAGCTTCGTACAGTTGAATGTGTTGTTAAGAAAGGTTCAGAATAAGAAAGTCATTTCAATGACTTGAAGCTATATTTAATCATATTTAGTACCACAAAATTGGCTGTCAAATCTCTAATTAACTATCAGACACTGGTTCTGGTTTCCATGCTGCTCGCTTACTCTGCCTTATATTAACAACACCTGGCAGTTCAAACATACAAAGCTGCTCACACTGTAATTTAAAGTTTACTTTTGAATGTGAACGCAAACAGGAAGAACATGAACTTGCTTTTAGTAAACTTGTATACAAACATTGTTTACTAAACAAAAAATATTAGAGAAATGGAAAAATGAATGCACAATCGTGTAATTAAAGACTGTATCATAATGCATATACACAAGACAGCCAAAGAAGATTGCACAGGCAACCATAGTTTTGGCGTTTCCTAACTTATGAGCACTTGACTTTGCAACCTTAATAATGTTATTTTAATGTAGTTTTTATTTTGTGTAATTTCCAAGGCTTTTTTAAAAAGGAAGCTTGAAAAAATAGAAATTGACACTTACATGGATCATCAGCAAGTTTGGAACCTTTAGAGCCATCATGCAGACTTCTGCCACTTGAGTTAAGTGGATGATATAGTAGTGGGGTGCCATCCTGTGAGTGGAACAGCATTAAAAGGGGAGGGGGGACACACTGCGTCAATGGGTTTCACAAATATTTGCTGATATCAGAGGAATGATTTGTCTCAGGAATTCTGGGTTCCATTCAGGCTGTGGAAGGGAGTGCTGTCTAGTAGTCAGACACATTTCTGCCTGATCTCCCATCAAGGTTTGCATCTTCTGTCCTATCCCGATAACCTGCCCTGTCCCCGTCTTTGTCCCAGTTGTATTTTCTTTGCCTACTCTGGCCTAGTCTCCACTCTTTGGGCTTTTCATCCCAGTATCCTTATTGAGATAGTCCTAGACTCCCCCTTCCTCAGTCCCCTGTCTCAATCACACCCTTCCCTGACTACTTGTCCCAGTGTCTTTGTCTAGACAGCTCCTTTTTAGATCTGTCTCCCATCCACCCCCATTGCCACTGCCATTTCCCTCTTGTTTTCCAGTCCTCTTGTCCAGTGTTCCCGCCACGCATGCTCTCCACACAGCTGCTCATATGATTTGTGTTCCCTCCCCCTTATTTCTCTCACCAACTCCTAGTCTTCTAACCCAAGTTGAAGCTTCCCCACCTCCACCCCTTCAGTTAACCGTTCCAATTTCTCCAAGTCTGAGTTTCCTTGCTCGCCCTTCCCAGCCACCCTCACCGTCTCTCAGTCCGAGTTCCTCTCTCTTTGCCACCTGAAGTCCCATTCTTGCCAGACTGCTTGTCCCAATCTACTAACTTCCATTCCCCCCAGTATGGCTCTTGTCCCCTCTGCATTTGAGTCAAGTGGCTTCCTTCTGCATGCTGTCTGGGTGTCAGCAGGGAGAGTCATTGAGAGCACAGGAGAGGGTCTCCCTGCACTCGGTCCCACCCTGGCCCAGAGCAGCCAGGATCTGCAGTTACAGGGAAAGTCCAGCCTCACCCCTGAATTTTTGGGCGGGAGTACGTTCAGTCACTCTGTGGGAATGGCACATATACAGTCCAGTCAAATTTAGGAGCTGTGAGGGAGTGGAGCATGCTCACTAAAGTTAGAATCTTTGGAGATTCTACCTGCTAAACTCTTAAGTCTCTAGTGAACGTGGGCAAACTGAGATTTTTCAGAGACTTATAACTTTACTGTATTTTAATGGGGGTGACAAAAGGCACAAAAAATGCCACCTCTTGCCAAATAGTGAGTCCCTACACTAAAGCACCGGTGTGATTGAGTGTCTCAAATAAGATTGCCAGAACTTTTTTATCATTCCAAACATATTTCAAAATATATTTCCCCCCCCTATCCTCATTGTTGATAATGTCTTTTGGCCAAAACATTCTAAAAAAAGTCCACCCTGTGGCAGATACTGGGCATAGAAAATTTCAGACCAAGTGGTTAAAGTTTGTCAAAGTTTTATATGAAACTTTAAATAGGGTCTTATAATGGGAAATATTGGGCATCCTTAATAGGTACTGCTGCCAGCACTCTCTTTATTAGTGTCAAAAGGAAAAAGGAAAGGTTTGTCTAAATTTGGAATCACTTTTGTCATAGCCCTTGAAGTGATATCAGGAAATTGGAGAATATATATAAACCACAAAAAATTATAAAATCATATTGACAGTCCAGTAAAATATACTTGCATCATATTAATACTGTATTTTTATTATAATTAACTTAATAATGTTTTTGAAAGTAAATCCTACTTGCCTTAAGTAGGTTAATACAAAATTGAATATGCTCTGAACAGTCTGACACAAGGGAAATATTTCATATACTAGACATGACAATTTCATGTCTTCTAGGATTGTGTATACGGTAGGGATGAGGTACAAACTGTCTTGAGTGAAATGGTAAATGACTCCCACTGCTCTCTTGTGCAGGAGAATAGACCCAGGAGTTTGACAGCACATTCACATTTGAAAATGTGGGAGAAAGGAGAAAAGTGATGCATTGAATCAAAATATTTGAGGATCATTCTACTCCTAAGAGAAATATGACATTTGAACAGTGATTCCTTAGTGTTCTTTCTTTTTCTATGTCTCTCCCACACATGCACACGCACACATGGCAGCCAAACTCATTTAGGGAGTTCCCAGTTGAGAATTTGGAGCAGGAAGGGGGCGCTAGCTCCTGTATTTGCATATGATTCCCACATTCCAAAAGCTGAGTGTAAATGTCCGCCTAAGAGTACATCTATCTGATCGGGCTACCCTCTTATACCTGACAACCAAGTGGTTAGAGCACTTATCCAGGGTATGGGAGACCTAGGTTCAAATCCCCAATTCGTCTGATTCAGAGTAAAAAGTAGAAACCAGGTTTCCAACTGCTGAATTGTAAGATATTTTGGGGTAGGGCCCTGTCTAGGGCACTCACCTGTGAGGTGGAAGACCTGGGTTCAAACTGCCTCGAATCAGGCAGAGAAAGGATTTTGAACCCAGGTCTCCCACATCTCTAACCACTCTTTTGAGTATATGACCACCACCATCACAATGACATACTTGGGGAGAAAAGCCTGACCTGGCATGGGCACCTACCTCCAGGAGACAGTCCATGGCTGAGAGTCCCAAGTGAAGATAGGCCAGAGTTTGGTGCCTACTTCGCTTTGAGAGGTAGGTTTTTCTTATTGGCTAGCTTAGGCAGCTCCTTCCGCAGCTTGCTGCTTACTGTGGATCACATTCGTAGGGGCCTCATTCTCCCCATGCATTGTATAGGGAGCCTGAGTATCTAACTTGGGGGCTGGAGATTCTACTGTGCGCAGGGCACCTAAAGCTAGGTGTTGCAGTGCTGAGCCTAAGTCCCCTTTCTTGATCTATCTCATTCTTTCTCGTTCATATTCCTCGATATGCAGCCATTTACTCAGAGACTCCCTTCTCATACCCTCTGTCCCACCCCCTCCACTTCAACATTTGTTCCTGAATTGCTTTGCTCCCTTACTTCCTGGTCTCAGGCTCCCCACATCCAAACCCCTCCCTGCTGAGCCCCAACCACCTTCACTTTGACACCTCTTCCCCCTGTGGAGTCCCATTACCATTGCATCCGGTCCCCAACAAGCCCCTGTGCATTCAAATCCTCCCCCCCCCCATGCATCCCCCACACACACATACCTGGATCCCTTACTGAGCCTCCCGCACGCAGATTGCCCCACACAGAATCTTCTCAACCCACACCTGGATCCCTCCCACACTAAGTTCTCCACACTTGGATCCTATGTTCTTGAGCTTGCCTGCCTGCCCACACCTGGTGCACCTGGCACAGAGGGGTAGGGTTCTGGGGGGTTTCTGGGGCAGGCCCAGTCCTTGTGCTGTGTTGGGGCTCACCGCTGTGTCCTTTTCCTGGGGGAAGCTGTACAGTGATCTCCACCTCTGTGCAGCCAGTGGTCTGTGCTCCCCAGTGCCATGCTGGAGTCTCCACATTCGACAAACAAAATTTGCAGAATTTTAAAATATTGTGTGCAGAATTTTTAATTTTTTGGTGCAAAATGCCCTCAGGAGTACCACTCACCCTACTCTACACAGTAGAAAAGAGAAGGTAAGGCCTGAGCCTACGCATTTCTCTGAATTATATTCAGGTCTACCTCACCGTTTAATAATTCTCTTTTGGTGAGCTAGTGGGGTGTCCTATGATATTCCTTCAGAAATACCTTCTGATGTGATTTTTCCTGCTGTCTTTTTGCGTGCAGTGACTTGTTTTAAAAGTCTACTTAGCAGTCAATACTGGCATCTATAGCCTTCATAGGTCTAAATACCATATGAATTTAAGTGTGCTGGTAAGATAGGAAGAAGGGGAGGTTATTTAGGATTTTTAAAAATATTTTGTGAAATTAAGCATATTTTACACAATTTTAAAAAAATTTCCTGAGAATCTGCTTTTCTCTTTAAGTGAAAGTTTAAAGATGTGAGTAGCCCAAGTTTGTACATCATTGATTGTGCTGTGTTTTGCTTTGTTCTGCTATTGAAAATGTTGAAACAGAGGTGTGACTTGATACATTTAACTGAATTATAATGGCAAGTATTTTAAAATAAATGAGAACAAGTAGGAAAGTCAGTTAACAAAGAATGATTCTATTTAAATAGTTAGAACATTGATTTGGTTTATTATTATTTTTTATTTATATGATGGTAGCATCTAGGAGTCCCAGTTGAGAATCAAGGCTCCATTGTACCAGGTGCTGAACAAGCAAACATGTTAAATAGCGAATTTACTGCAGGGTATATACTAAAAGAAGGTTTTAAAATATTATTCTACAATTGTTTTTAGCTTTAGATCCTGCTAAAGATCCATGCCTAAAGATGAAATGTAGTCGCCATAAGGTATGCATTGCTCAAGACCAACAGACTGCTGTTTGCATTAGTCATCGGAGACTTACACACAGGTAAATGCTTTAAAGTTAATGTTATTGATTAGTTTACTGTCTTCACCACTAATAACTACAACCTGTAAACAAATTGTAAATACTGTAGTTTCTCTACAACGTACTATGGGGAGGAAATTGAGATGATTTTTGTAATAGTTATGCACTGATTAATTACTGTGATCGTTGCATATTTGTACATAGTGTGTTACAGGATATACATGTATGTTCATAGAGTAAGCTGCTGATAAAACTACTGCTACATTCAAGGAAATAGTGTTTATACCAATTGCAACAAAACCAATTATCCCAGGAGATAATCTTCCACTGCTGTGATTTCATTCTTTTTTTTTTTTTGTATTGAAATCTCTTTAGAATCCTCAAGGTTCTTCCCTTCCAAAGGCTGCATTGTTATACTATTGTTATACTATTGGGCACACATTTGTCTGACTGTTCTTGGTTAAGGTAAATCCCAACATTTATTTGGTGTACCTTTTTTGCTTATGTGCAATATTCACCCCGTTTTTTTTTAATGTAGTACCATTTGAGTTCTACACCAGTTACACACAAGGAGCAAATGTGTGGTACAGTTTGCGTAGGGTCAGAACGTGGCCTATTTTCCCCCTTATACTTCTCTTTTGGGAACATATTTAACGTTTTAGCTATGAAATATTAAAATGTCTTTTGTAAGATGAGCGAACTACTGTACATATGCCCCAATTTAGCAAAGCACTTGAATATGTGCTGAACTCCTATTGACTTTAATGGGCCTTAACAACCTGCTTAAAACTAAACATGTGCTGAAGTGCTGAGTTGGGCCCATAATGATGAAAAAGTTTAACCAGTAACATAATAGACAGTATTTCTTGGCTCGTGAAAACTATATTTAAGGGGAAAGTATCAAGCTTTTGAGATAGAACAGTTATAAAGGTATATTTGTTAAGGAATGTTTTCAATTTCCTAATATCTAGTTATGCTGAAATATACCCATTTGTGGCGGATCAAAGAAACAAGCTAGTATTTTTGTGAGGTGAAAAGCAGTGGTTTAAACTGTGCAGCCACAATTATTTAACAAAAACTATTTGTAGGGTTATGCTTTTGACATTGACCAATGATGGTGTAAAATTAGAGATTTTGGTATTATTATTATAGAAATTGAAAGAGTTATTCTGCTAATTTCAGTTGCATTCGAACTGTAGGGGAAAATATCAAGGCCAAATGCAAAAGGACAAAATAATTGGAGAAAATGTTTATATTTCTCAGAGGGTATTACACATATGAGGAAAAATAATAATAAAAAAAACCTGTGTAAAGTAGATAGGTGCTGAAAAGTCTTGTAGACCAGCTGCAATTGCCTACAGTATTTGCATAAATATTTGTATAAGGCCTTCTTTCCCCATTGCCCTTGATCTAGTACAGGAAGGTGGGCTTTGGTTCTTGAAATGCTGTCTGAATATAATCAAAACTCATTATGTGAATTTTCAAGAATGGTAGAAACTCACTAATTGGAACTAAAAACTAGGAAACTTATGTGGACTATTCAGTATTAAGCCAGATCCTGTCCTGTAGATCTATGCACAGAGGGGACCCTAACATGCTTGGATCTACCCTTCCTCCCAGAACAGTGGGACGGCCCTTTCTATCATGGTGCATTCTCTTCCTGAAGAGGTGCTTTCCATGCAATTTGTGGCCTGACCATGGTGAAAGTGGTGGGAAGGAAGAACAAAATACATCGTCCTTTTTCCGTCCGCAAAGAAATTAGGTGAGAAAGGTAATATAGCACTGGGCTCCATTATCCTTCGTATGTATGTATGTATGTGTATGTATGTATGTATGTATGTATAATGCATTGCCCCTTCTTCTAACCATTCCACACATCTGCTCACCGGGGACAGCTGTACATGGAGTAGGAAAAGGGAGGAGAGGCAGGGCACTACTGGGGGCCAGCCTCTGTGCAGACCTCTGAGAACCTAGCAGGTTTTGGGTAAGACCCATAGCTTTCCCCCCAGCAAAGCTATAAGGATGGAACATCTGAGAATAAATCCTTGCAAAATTTTATCCTTAAGAGCCTACACTCATATTTTATTCCTCACAGGCAGGATTGTTTTCAGCCACAGTCATGGCCAAGATAATCTATTTCTCTTGTAAAATCTGTGTGAGGGATTCTGGAGAATTAATTCTCCTGGGGGAAGTCCACACAAAGATCCACTTAGATCTTCCCATTGGGGCACATTAGCTCTAGTTTCTGCACTGCCAGTTTCTATTGGCTGTTCCAGGAACTATTCCTTCAGGGGAGTTGTACAAGAAAAACAAGGCAGCCCCAGGTTGTATTTTTTTCCCCACTATCTTATATGGGGCTAGATGGGTGACAATGTGTATGGTCCGTCCTGTCCCCAACCCAGACTCACCCAATCTCTGACCCTCCCCAGCACTTTTCCTGGGCTGTGTGAAGAGGCCTCTATAAAATGCTGGGGGCATGGTGCTACTGAGGTGCCGAGACTCCTCCGTCCATGCAGAAGTATGAAGATTTGTGTCATGGATACCCTCTAAGTGCAGATCTAATAGGGCAGAATTTAGTCCAAAATTTGTATTTGTCTGTCTCTTATCTCACTGAAATGCATTGGGCTACTTGTATAGGAGAGGATTTCTCACCCAATTAAAGGTTACTGAATCAGAGCCTTTGAGTAATAGTGAGAGAGTGAATAAATAGGGAAAAATATGGCATTACAAATGTTCTTGTGATTTATCTTTTTTAAAATTTATTTTCATTTAAATCTACATATGTGAATTCAACATTGTGTGAAAGTGTGGTTGTTGCCTTGTATTTATATATAGCAAAATTATACATAACTTTATATTGCATAGATTTAAGGATGTTGTGAAGTATAGCTTTGTTTCAAATAGTTTTAATTATTTATAATACCTTACATGACATGTTAATAAATTTAATTATGATATGTTTTATCAGAAGTAATGTAGCTAGTGATATAAGACTACACTGTCTGACAGATTCCTGATAGAGAAGTGGGAGAAGACAGAATGTTTGTGTTAATTATTGATTTGTTGTTTAGAAAATGAACATTGAGATTCTGTGGTGTCAAAAATAATAAATATTACTTCTCCAAAAGTAAAAACACTTCAATGCATTGAGTTTGTATTTTCTGACGTAATACCTAGGAACCCAGTACTCCTCTCTAACCTATATCACTACAGTATGTACTTTCATTCTTATGATACTTTTAATAGGAAACAGGGTTAAATGGTGTATGTAGAAATATTTTTAAAATACTTTCTCTGTGTTAGGGACAAGAGTTCCAAAACTGATCTGATCAGTATAATAAACTATCTTTCATTTTCTCCTATATTAAATGCATTCATTCATTATATGTTTTAGCAGTCTTCTTCAGTTACTCATCATTTTTTATCAGGCTTGTTCTTGTGATAAGTTGATATATGACACATGCACATTCGCCTCTTCAAAATGCACTTAGACTGTGTACATCATCATCAATTGCATCAATGAAAAATTCATGTCATTCTTTTTTGTTTTTGTTAAGTAGTTGCCAATGTAGGAATCATATTTGCATTACTCATATAACATAATTTACACATAAGCCTAATCTGCCTGTCATCATTTGGTGTGGAGGACATATTTTATTTTTTATCCTTTATTGTTGTTTACTGGTACCTTGTTCTCTGATGGAGAAGGCTTCAGAGATAGACAAAACAGATTCAGCAATTCATCTTTTACAGGTGGAGTAGAGGCATTCTGAGCAGAAAATCACCAACAGAAACCTGAGGAGTGCTAAACATGTACATGATTTTAAGCACAAGTATTGCTATTGGTTTCAGTAGCCTTACTGCAGAAAACTGCAATACCAAGTTCTTCCATTAAAATTGTTTAGTGGAATGGGGGACAAATGCATATTTATCAAAGTAAAAATATTTAAGCTCAACTTGTAGACAGAAATGGAGGAAAAACATTTCAATTAACAGCATCTTCCCCTACTTTGACAGTTTTTCCTTTGTTTTTATCTCATGTCTGTTCAGCTACAGGAGACAATTTACAAATGAGGTCACATTCAGTTAAAACCTTGTCATTGTGAAGACCATTCTAAACTTTGACTAGAGACTGCAAGGAACTGGCAAAGTGCCAAGTGATGAGTTGCTCAGTAATATTTTAGAAACAGGTTTCCAGAACATGTAGATTGAGACATAGAATGTGTACACTGTTTTGCACTAAACATCCGGATCCAGCATCATCTGGACTTCTTTGATGTTGTGGAGTATAGTGAGCAACCTTACACTGATTGATCTTAATGGAGGCTGATAAAACACAAAAGCCTTGTTCTCCTCTTGCATAAGCATAGAATGCTTTAATCAAAACCAATCAAATTCAACAGCCCTTTTTGTAAAGAAAGTGAAGAGGTATCCATATACAGAACTGTTAGATGCACACCATTTTGTTTCTTACATTATGAGCCTTCCACGTTGCGTTGTGCAGACTTGTTTGTTAGTTTGTTTTTAAATCATAGCCAGCTTTTTTAGTTGTATTGGCAGAACCAAAGGTAGCATTTTGGGGTGGATCATTTGGACTGGCTTTAAGCAGATTTTGAGGATGGTTTCCGAGGTGATTTTCTGTATCCGCTCACATTTTCAGATTGCCACCACCCTATTCTACTGCAGCTGTTCGTCCTGTGTGCAGTAAATGGTGGTTAACACACACATACAAAAGTCAATTTTCCTTAGAAGTTTTGGGGTGGCTAGATGCTTCTAATCCCCCATCCACTCTGGCAAATTTTTGAGGTAACTTTCTCTCTTTTTTCAGTTATTTTAGAATCCAGAGTAGCAAGCAATAGTATTATAATGTAAGTGCTCAAAATCCACTCCTTTTGTCCTATAATTACTGATATGTACGAGGTCCCCGGGGAAATATTTTATAATAAAGGGGCATAACTTAAATAAAACTTATGAACCCCAGATAATGTGTGTATCTCTCATTCTATTGTCTAACTTACGTT